CGAAAGGCTTCTTCATTTCACTTTTCTTAACACCCTCCTTTGATTTCTTCGTCGCATTTTCTCCAGATTGTCGTCCACCTACAAAAGTAGGTTGTGTTGAGGACGTGCAAGTATGAAAAACTAGCATTTCTGGCGTGCTGACATGAGACTAGTGAACCACTGCAATCATGGATATATTGATTTTTGGTGCGAATGTCGCGCATGTGACACCATCAGTAGCACCCCCTTCGGCGCATTTGCGCAACCGGCTGTGCTGATCTACACCTACAAAGACAACAGTCCACAAGGTCAAACAAACCTATGGTAAACCTCGTCGCTACAAGGGTAAGTCAAAGGAAAAAGGGGTATAATTTGGAAGACACTGGCTCTATATTTGCAATTTTACTGTTACCGGGCTACACCACCAGGACTATGGGGAACATTTCCCCCTCTACTTCCTCCCCTTTCCCCTCCCCATGTGTTATTTCCAACACGAACCACCAACCCGCTTTGAGCAACATTCTTCCTCGTTCGCATGCTTGAGACATCTTTTTAAGGTTGTTACGGCGACCCAGCGCTATTTGGGGATGGGGCATTTTGCGCTCGTTCGTTTGCTAGTTTCTGTTGAACTACACGTCTCACCTTCACAAGCCCTGTAGACTCTTGTCAACCGTGAATAAAGCTTCTACTATTGCACAGGTTTGCAGGTCCTCACAGGGCAGGTTGGCAGCCAGTAAAGAGTCCCCGCTAAGCCGCATCATCAGCATCACTAACGAACGGGACTGCTAAATAATCTGACAAGGGAAGGATGGTAGGTCGAAGTGGCCATTTGAAATGAAATGTATACCGGCTGAAAGGTCTTCGGACGGGATTACGAAACCGTCTTCCATATCTGCTGCGGACCTCCCAGAAAGAAGTTACGGAGCTTTTTAGGGGAGAATATTCGCATTCAGTACGAATTGGCGGCGTAAGGCTGATGCGATCGTGGCAGCATGGCCGAGTGGATACGTCGTAGGGCTCACGGATGCGCGTTCGACGGTTTGAGTCCTTGATGCATGCGCTCTTTTGCATCATTTCGGAAGTGGTACCTGTGCACTTCAAAGCTATTTTGCATAACTCTTGTGCCTGATAATGTCGTGACCCAATGTTTCTGAACTGATGGAGCCATTGCGAACGATTCCATGAAGAACATTTTCTGGCTGTTGACTTCTTCTTTCTTTGATTTGAAAAGCGTACACAACAAAAGTGTATTCAACTCAAAAGTGCATTCCAATGAATGATTTACCCTGGAAAATAACTTTATTCTCCAAATGACATGACTGGAAACCGAATCCGAAGCGCACGAAGTTGTGCGCGAAGATGAGTATAGTGGGGAAAATGCTCCCATATGAAGTGGCGTTGATGTGGCAATCATGCTGGAGATCGCGGCGAAACCTTCATTCATACCTCACATAGTGTTGGAAGATGTCTATTCCAAAGTGGTTTCGCACCGGCTGGAAGTTTCCGGCTTGTATAATAATCTCTTCAGCCAGAAGTAATCTCTATGAGATCGGTTAGTAATGGCTCCACCGAAGTTCAGTAAACATGTACGTTTACGAACGGTATTGAGGGAGCAAGAGTTATGGGCAAATATAGCTTTGAAGTGCATAGGACAGGGGATACTTCCCCAAAAAAAAAACGCAAAAAGCACACGCATCAGAGGTGGCTGGCGCAAACTCTCTCATGAGCATTCCTGAGGCCCTAAGACGTATTCACTTAAGGCCATGGCGCCACGCATAACAGCCTGTAACGGAGTGGAATGCGATATACTCTCCCTTATAAAGCTCCGTAAACGTGTGTGTGTCTGCAACAGTATGGAAAACGGTTTCGTAATCCCCCGTCCGAAGTCCTTTCAGCCGGTATACATTTCATTTCGAATAGCCACTTTGACCTACCCTTGTGAGCTAATATAATAAGCTATATATCTATTCTATCTATAGCTCTGCTTTTGTGCAGGGCACGTGGGTTAGTTTTCTTATCCGACATTGTGGTTGGTCCCTTCTTGTTCGAGTGGAGTACCTTTTCTCAGGCACTGGTAGGGCTTCTTATATTGCCTTGTCCTTCCTTGGATTTTGTTTTGGCATTTCTAGCTGGAAAAACAGCAGAATTCTCGTGCACAACAGGATTAATTCATATGGATGACATTCGAAGTCACCTTTCTCACCTTGCTTGTCCTCTTTGCGAACTTGGTTTGGAGTGTTTGGAAGTCGCGCTGCTTTACGGTCGCCTCAAAGGAGACCATCATCATAATGTAGTAGAAATAAATGTAAAAGTGACTATAATATGAGTCATAGACGACAAATTAACATGCCCGGGGTCACAAGAAAACAGAAGCTGAAGAAAAAGGTCATGATTGCCAGTCAGAATCACGCTTTCTTCCGTATTAGACCCTTTTGTCCTCGATTAGGACCTCATATCCAAGAGACTTAATATTGTAGCGCGTCAATAAGGTCTGCTGGTTCATGTCATGGCGACCCGAAAGTGATGTAGTGGTTGGGTGGCCTCCTTTTTAGTGGGGATTCTGGCGCCCGCTGGTCGCGGCGTTACAGTGGCCCCATCTGAACGCTGCCTCGATCCTGGTCGGCTTTCCTCCCCTTAAGGGCTGTTGAAGTGGCTCCATGCTCATTAAGGATGGAAAAGTATTTGAACATCAGTTGGGATATGAAGTTGCTGTACAGTATGGAATTTTGGCATAATGCCAGCTCTCTGCTGCCGGCACTCAAGCGCTCAAAATCGTGAGTAGAGATGAAAAACGGTGCAAACTTCGAGCCAAAAAAATAGCCCCGGTGAAGGCCACTAATGAAGTCAGTGATTATGACTGTACAGATCCTAGTGGTATTGAATGAGTGAAGTATCCCAAAAAGGGAATAATCAGAGCCAAGGCATCGTGCTCTTCTTTTATTCTAGGATCTGGTTGCCACCAAAGGGTGCTGTATTTCTGCAGTGACCTGAGAATTTACACTCATGATCCTCGGACATGATAGGGGGCTTAAGGACGGGGGCAATCTCGTTGGAGCGGGCGAGCGCGAGGTTAGTTCTTACGACCGAGTCTAGATGGGCGCGGCTCAGGATGGCATCATGGTTGGAACGTGGCCGCCCTGGCTGCGGCTCCAGTACGCGCCGCGTCACACGCCCTATCGTTTGCATGGATCATTATTGCATTTCAGGGCAATCGCTCAAAGACTCCCTGAGTTGCAGAGGTCTTAAAGAATTTGCCATTCTCAAGCTCGATTTTCATACCTTTTGTCGTGGATGCCAGGAGTTTGTTCCTCAGCAACACTGAAACGACAACTCTTGATCCATCTACTCTCCAACATCAGAAATGGATGACTTACATCTCACTGTCAAATCGTCTTCATGATGAGTTTTCGAAGGGTTTCAGCAGTTCCGGTTTGAGAGCGACCAAAAGCAAAATAATCTGAAGTTCTGCGGTCACAGACAGAGCATGTTCTGACAACAACACACCCTAAGACAACGTTCAGACTTTCGCGCGTCGACGCACTGTAACGCCCTACTATTAGAACAACAGCGCTCTGATGCGATAGACGCGAAAGCAGACGGGAATCGATTGGCGCAGGCCGTTTGTGTATCGAGAGAGAGAGAGCACGGGGGAAAGGAGGGAATGTGCAGCCCAAATATGGTATCGATCGGCACTGACCGCTAGGGCTTTGAGGAGTATAGAGCAGCGGAAGAGTACCAGATTTGAAGGCAGTGCCTACCCTATCGCGCCCGCGGACTGAATTGTTTTTGCAATTGCAGCGAGTCGAAGCGCGTTACAGCGCGTCGCCTCCAAGACTGAACGCTGTCTAATACATATTTTGCCCCTAGAGTCAAAGTGGAGCACTCAGTGGGAGCATTTATCCGTACCGCTCTTTTCTTTAGCTTTCATGTGATTCTACAGGGATAGATCAGTCACGCTGGAACTTTAAAATTGGAAGGCACTGTACGGAACACTTTACTTCATACAGAAAACGTAATGTTCCGACTAATAACGACTTGAAGTTCAAAACTGAAGAACAACGCACCGTTGATGTCATTATTAGCGATAAACTCCATCCGCAGGCAAATGCTAATGCGAAAGGAAAGTATCTGAAATAAAGAGATTTTGTTCAACTCCGTCGCGCCAAATAACTCTCAAAAAGGTACAATCTTGTTCGCTGTCACGGCAACTGGGCTTGACGCGGCGCCAGCCCGTTTTCCACCATTTGTTGCCGCTCCCCCTGCGCAACAGTTGGTGGGGAACGGGATTACGCCGCGCTAATCCGAGCCTCTGCACGTCCCAGCAGTGAACAAAACTGTGACGCCCTTCAACGGGGTGTGGGCCATGCATTTGAATTTTTTGTAGAGTTCAAGCTGGAGGCTAGCTGAGTTCGAGAGGGAGTGATAGCTGTTGCAATGTGTTACGATAGTTACAGTTACGTTATCGCTGCGGATGCTTGGGCGTGGCAAAGGGGCTGGGCTTGGCGATGCGCCGGCCGTTCTCCACCAACTGTAGAAGCTGGCTGGCACAATTGGCCGTAGACTGGCTGGCTCGCGCC